AATTTTAATCATAATTTCATAATCTTCAAAGGCGATTCTTAAAACTCTGTTCCCGTTCATTTATTAATGCTAAAATTAAACAAACATAAGACACTTCCAAAAAACAAACTACTTTAACTCTGAACGATTAGTCAAAACAAAGCAAAACAACGACCGTGAAGGTAATCAGACTCTCTGTCCAGGTGCCTTCCACCTATTTCTACAACTAACTAGAATGTTTCGTGATGTAATCGGCAAGAGAAACAGCAAAAACAGTTGTGCCTCAACTGTAGTACGCCATTGCCGAACTCTGGTGTAGAATTCATGTCAAGAAAATGTATCCCGTTGGTTATGTGTAGCTACATCCAGAAAATTTGGAAACCTTGGAAAGGAAGATTTTAGGGCAGATTCGCCTTTAAAAGATTTTTACTGATTGACCTTCTGTATTTATTGATATCTTTTGTTTAAGGAAGTTAGAGGTGAAGATGTGGCGATTTACTGTAAAGTTATAGCAAAGAAAAAATAGAAGGCATCTTAAACAAAGACACGTTCTGTACTTCCTTGTAACATATAATAGTCTTGAATTTTATTTGAAAAGCAAGCAATTTTCTATTAAGGAAAATGCGAAAAACTTTTAGAAATACCACAAGCCCTGCTTTAAATTGGCAGATAAATTTGGCAGATACCAAAAGGATTGCCTAAAGTTCTTGCGACTATCCTAGTCTGTACTTGTCGGACTTGTACTTTTGTATAAAACTTGCAACCCGCTGGCCCGCTAACGCAATCAAGAGACCTGTTTTGCCTCTTCTATAGCCAACTCTGCGGCCATCGATCATCGCCCCGGTGTTACGCCAACGTTGGTCACGTAGTAGACATCCGGGTATCTGCACTCCGACAGACGCTCCATTGTTTATTGTTAATGACATAACTCTTTGTAGACCTAGGGCCCACGTCAAAACCAGTTAACACTAAGCGTTCTTCTTTTAACAATAGAAATATAGATGTGTTATAAAAGCCGACTCAATTATTGTCAGTATAAAACTTACAAAAACATATTGAAGCAGAAGTCGTTTTCCTTTTATTGCTAACGCTTTAGTCGTTTGAAACAGCAGGTCAGTCGTCGCGGAGAAGTTTTAACGTAATATCACCAGTTGCTTAAACTATCCCGAGGAAAGCAAATACCAACTGGACCTTCTAAATAAGATCGGAAAAAAGACAAGTCACTTACTTAGGACATTAGAAGAAATGGTGATAAACATTTGGCATAAACAAAGAAGTTGAAAGAAAAACAATCTTGGACAACTGTGCGCAATAGATGGAACGTACCAAATCTTGCTGAGAATTGATCGCCAATGCCGTGAAGCAGGGGGCATGGTGAAAATAATGATGATGAACATTTGAGAAATTTTCAAAAGATTCAACGGGGTGTATGCATTGAATCTGTATAAAGTACATCAAAGTCTTCAAAAGAGACCGGAACAAAATTACCAGTGTCTTCTAGGCGTAGGCCCTACCACTTCACTAGGTCTAACAAGAAAATAATTTATTTGAAGTTCTGCTGAACCATATTGACAAAGCCATTAGTAATTCAACTTTTGTATTTTTCACTCGTTTATAAACCCAGAGCCTTCCCCTTTTCACAAAGAGAGACAAGAATTTTTACCCATAAGTTTCCCCACCCTCTCCCGAAAACTCTACGTGTACCATTGAAATTTGTATCTTTATACGTAGGCAAGTCCTGACATGGTCACTGGAGCAAGGTCTGAAAAGGGCATGTCTACCTGCTTTGCCGTACACCTATTGTAACATCAACATTCCAAAATGTCGTCCATACTGCAGGTTTATATACGGAAATAATGTTCATACTGCATTTAAGAAAATTGTTTACATTTTTTACAGATGTCATTGGTCCGTTTTACTGTCATATTATCGGTTCATTATAAGTGACATCATGTGGCAGTCAAAATTTGGGATAGATATTGAGTACAGTAAGGATATGTGGTTACAACATTGATGGTTACAACAAAGGAGGGCATCCGTAAGCATGGAACCCGACGATGACACTGATGATGACGGTACTTCTTTGCTCGCGCGTGCACACACCCACACACCAGCACACACGCCACACAATCTCCCCCCCCCTCTCTCTCTCTCTCTCTCTCTCTCACACACACACACAGAGAGAGAGAGAGAGAGAGAGAGAGAGAGAAATGACTCAAGTAATAGGTTAGATTAGTGAGAAAGCCATCATCAGGACTTAGCTGAGACATCAGGCAGGTACTATTAAGCTACCAAAATCAATGTAAGCCCCGGAAGACCTATTTATAAGTTTAAGTAGAACTAACTATATTGTCGTCTATGTATTTATAAAAAAAAAAGCATATTGACAACAGCTTGAAGGACCGCATAACCAATGTGTTGTTTACTACAAGTAGCATTCCAGCTAAATTCGAATGTGTTATTAAACTGTATTAACTACAGATAAACGTTAACTGACAAGACGTGCCGCACCGCTACTTGACCGCGAGATGCACTAGAGAAAACCGCAAATAACCTAGACACATGGAATGGCATTTATATTTTCGCTTACATAATTGATGCAAAAATCGAAGCTTTGAACGTCACTGTAACAGTCTATGCTCATTTGTACAGAAAAAACTTCCATGACACTTTTACGCTATGCATTACCACGCGGAAGCGGATTAAATTAAATCTCTTGTTTATGCTTATCACAAGATTCTAATATTTTTCCAATATCTTCCGATAGAGCGACAGGATAAAAGAAGAATAAAGAGGCTTCATTTTGTTCTGATTGAACCCTATTCATTTGAGGTGTTCACGATAGACGCCATGACAAACAAACAAACAAACAGACAACCTTTCTTCGCCAAATACAGATTGGCGATGTGGAACACAAAATGAAACGAGTTTGTAGAAATCTAATTCTTTTCCATCAAATAAACACCCAGTAAAAACCCATTTATTCAGCCGTGCTCATCTGATGATGCTCGCCTTCTATTGTTACAGACCAACAGGCACTCGTTTTCTTTTTCATCTTCACATTTTTCAGAGAATGATTAACATTCAAAAGCTACACTCTCTGACGTCAGTCAAAACTTGTTCTTAGGGATGTCTGAGTGGCACCTGTACTGGGTCAATTTGTCTCAGGGTTCATCAGCACTCATATTCACAATAACATTTGATTCCACTGTGCCTATTCTGGTTTTTATGTGGCCATGAAGCGATGGAGGTTTTTTGAAAATGGCCAAGAGTACGTGGTGAGGGGCTGTATGGACGGGAACATTCTGCCCAGGTTCCACTTCATTGTTCTTATCACTTACCAGATCTAACCTGTGCCTGCAAAAATGGGGGGGGGGGGGGGGGGTTATTAAAAAGATTTTTAAGATTTTTGTCCTGAGTTTTGATTTGCAAGGCATCTTCACAGTTTGTTAAACACGAGTGAGGTGGGGGGATGGGGACAGGTGCTTGTCCTTTATTACACGGCAAAGGAATATAAAATGGACATACTCATATAATGAAAGAAAAGGTTCGCATTAAAGACTACTGTTAAAAACGACCCAGTAAGGGTTAATGCGATACGTGCACACACTTTTTCTTTTGTATAAAAATCTTTATCTACATGAGAACTCTCTCGCCCATCAGCCATTTTTGCGAAAGGGAAGTGGACTTATCTTGAAGATAAAAAGGGGCGAACTGCTACTCAGAAAAAAATCTAAGCCAGACTTTGGCCGCATTTTCGATACTTTTTCTTCTTTACCATCTTTACAATTTCCACCTATTCAAGACAATGCAGTCAAAATGATGTATAGAAAATAGTTTTCTAGATCAATTTTGGTATGGCAGTGGACCCTACGGGAATTCACTGGCGTCTCATTAAGAAACTCCTTGAGTGATCTCGCATCTTATTCATTTTATTACTATTCCGATTAAGATATCTTTATTTTACGTACTCTGTTAATTTTGCAATAATCTGCTATTAGTTCAGATAAGTAAGACGCAAAATTTAATAGTGTGGTTGTATGAGTGTGTTGGGGAGGGGGGAGGACTTACCATTCAAAAAGAAAATATAGGAACGGTGTAGGGGGGGGAGATAACAATTATGGTTGGACATTGGTTGACTGGTGGCTCGGTGCATAGATATAAGAGGCAATGCAATTACATAGATGTATGACTGACGTGGTTAAAGAATCATTTTGAGGGGGCGGGTGGGAGCAGGGGATACCCCCCTCCTCCGGTTTCTACACATGTGCACTGATTACTACAGCGGCATTTTTTTTCAGAAACACAATAACACTCACATTGAGGTTGAATAAATGTACCCAAAGATTGTATATGATGCAGAACTCAGCTCGTTTCTCAAAACTAACGATTTTAAATACCATATTATTGCTCTAAGGAGTGCAGTCTCTTGTCCGGTTTTCCATAATAATTATTAGATCAGCGACTCTACATTTATTTAACCTGTATTTTATTTAGTAATCACCCCACTGCTAACTATATTCAAATGTTTTTTACTTCCTTTACGTGAGCCATGGCTTGGTTTCCGTAAGCTTTTTTTCCGCGGTATTATAGCTATTTTTATCATAGCGTATCCGACGGGGTCCACAATTAGCGTTTTCGGAATATTTAAGGGGGTAAAGCTCCGGCGGGTAAGAACAATAACATTTAAACGACACCAGCATCTCTGAATCATTGAGATGCACCTCTTCACGCAACGCTGTGCTCACTAATCGTTAATCGCCAATTACTGATAAAACTGATTGATTGCCAAGGAATAGTGTGTAACATTGCAGAATCTACTCTACACCCAGTCAATATTTGCTCATTGGTATCCTTTGGCCTGCCGGAGCACTACGTCATCGCAGTCGGGGTTCCAACCTCCACACGAGTAACCGGCTCATGATTTGATTGGTCGATGTAGCCTCCACACGCCCGAATCAGCTGATTGCTACAACGGGTTAAAAATCAAGGAGAGAGACTGCTCGTCCCTATACCCTGCCTACACTGCAGTTGAGAGAACTATAACTTGTTTTAGTCACTGCAGTCTAGGCCAGAGAGGTATCTAGCATTGAGTAGGATGCATTCAATGCAGTACTGCGTTTCTGTTGTTATAGTGGCGTGCGTACATTTGGCTTGCCGGGAGCCAGCTCGGGCTATGACAGTTAGGGGAACAACAGAAGAGGACTTTCGTTTTCCTCATCAAAATAGTTATTCAGATACTCACCAGAACGCTGCAATGACTTCATCATCCGCTAGTGCAAATCAGGGCCAAGCACAGCCTAAAAATTACATTTTAACCGACCAACAATTACACGATTTAAGACTAGAGATGATAAAGAAACAAATTTTAGACAAACTTCAAATGACTCACAGGCCAAATATCACAACGAACAGGAATAAACTCCTGCCCGCCCCCTTAGCTCAGAGACTGTTTAAGGACCCGGACTTCCAAGCCACCGAAGCAGTAGAGAGCGAGGGAGATGATTTCTACGGAAAAACAACAGAAATGGTGGTTTTTGCAGATCAAGGTAAGTGTAACAGGCGGGTGCAAAGCATCCTGCAGCATACAGACACCTACTATATGAAACGGTAGACTACCCGAGGTTTGTCCCACACATTGTTTGGAATGAAGTGGCGATTATGAGTTCACTGAACGCAAAACACTGTTGTTTGCCGGAATGAAATACATACTGTTAGTTTTCAATGTAATGAAATATGTGGATAAATTATTGACCCTCTAATGCAGTCTCATGCGGTAAAGGGTAGTAGCATTTTCGACTGTAATACATGTACAATAAGAAATATATTTAAGGTTTGCATGACCTTATCAGAGTGGTAAATGCACTTAAAATTAAATTGTCTCAATTCTAAACGGTAATTTTTGATGCCTGGGATTGATGCCCGTAATGCACAAATTTTACGAGATGCAAATGGCAAATATTCGGACATTTTGTTTTTATCGTCAGGTGAATAACACCCAAAAAATGCATAAACGGATTTCCTGCAATTCATTATTGCAGGCATATATAAGCCTCTTAATTACACAAGTTGATATTTAAGAAACTGTTTTCAGATACTTTTTAATTGTTCTCTCCTACATTTTTTAGTTGCAACCTGTTTGCTGAACAGTTCTTCGTGTTGATGGCATTTAAGACGAACTGTCCTGAAAAATGTGTGTTACGTTTAAGCAGGTGCATTAATACTGATAAAATTTTGGTTTCTCAATATATAGCTATAAAACTCGCGATCTGTCACTCTACCGACACTTTGCACCCTGTTATCAATGCACGTGGAGTGTTCTAAAAATAACTCGCGTTGGCAACAGCAATTTATGCATACTGAATGCGCTATCTGTTTTTGCATATTGCATCTTTTCTCGAAAATATTGCCAAAAAATACGAATTGAGACCGGGTAAATAGTTTAGGGAAAATACATGCTTTGATGTTTAGCAATAAAGTTGGAAGATCCCTGGACGGATTGGACGGATCGATACCAATAGTCTGGAGCGCTGACCTATTTGAAGGCAGCTGACTTACTTTTCTCCTTACCACTCCCATTTGGATGAAAAAGGACAGCATAGACGAATAAAACGTTCTGCTTAAATATCAGATTAACACCTCCATATGACCGCTGTTTCAGATTGATAGGAGTCTAGGTCTACTAAATTGCGATCAGACTAATTTTCTCCTATAATTTAAAAACAAAAAGCCTGTCATGCGAAAGCGATTATAGAGTGTGTTCTAGACTACAAAACGGTTTAAGGCAATCAGAGGGACAGTGAGTAGGGGTGAGACAGGGTAACTTAATTACCAGTGGAACAGAGTGCGTCTGTATTAGAGCCCTAGGGAAGAAAGCGACGCTTATTCCCCAATCAGTGTATCGACAAGCAAAGTTAGTAGCTGACTGACGGGAATCAAACAGAAGCTACATAGCTACGGTCGTTTGTGTGGTTTTCAAAACAATTGCATAAGAACGAGCGAAACGACGAGAAGTAATATTTGTTTAAATACCATGCTAAGTAACTGAAACTTTCAAAAGTGGCTACAGTAAGCACCACTAAGCCGGCTAAATGCCGGCCGGCTTTTCTACTTCTGACGTTATTCGATAACCTGAGTGATTGACAAGTAGGGAGATCTAGGGGTGCAAGACTGGACGCTGTCATTTTCTGCAACAGTGCGCACGTTTCATATTGTGCAGGGGCTCATACACTGTATGTCTGTGCCTTCTTCGCCAGTAGAGCGCATACAGCAGTCCCATGATGTAAAAATAGGTGCAATGTGTTTGATGTTTATAAATCGAACTTTTGGGTACAATCGTCGAAAGAACTAGAAAAATACTTTTAACTTGCCTCATTTGACTTACTCTCCCCCTCTTGTGAATGACCCATTCATCCTTGACTTTCATGAAAATATTTCAAAGCGGATGTACAATTGTATCAAGCAGTGTTTTAGCTATCGCCAATGATTACCTGATAAGCATGCTCTAGCTATTGCCACTTTATTTGATTTTAATGGTTAATGGACCTAAGTAAAAGCCCATAATGTTAGGATAAAGTTTGAAATATGACGTCATTTTTACTTAAGTTTTGTATCTACTTGTGCTTTTCGAGGAATAGAAATTTCTTCCTTTTCCAAATAGCAAAAACGAAAGCCTACATGCGGTGGTCTATGTATATTTCATAAGTGAAAAAAATTGCCAATAAGTTTCGAAATTTTGCTCCATTTTAAGACATTTTATCTTGACCCAGGTCTCGACTCTATTTTCATCAGACGATGAAGGGCATGGCGGCAAATTATTGACTCAAAATACTTACTCCACTAAAACGAAATACCCCACTAAAATGGATTTCAATTGCATTTGGGATACTTTTGTTTAATTCCCAATGTGTCCTTTCTCTTCGTATTAAAAAGCTGTCTCTGAACACGTCTTCCTGATCAATTTTCGATCGTAATAAGAATAATTTTTGTCTTCACTAATAAAGCCTCCGTGCTTCATATCGAATTTTGATGTTCTCAAATTGGAATTTTTACAATTAAAGCACCTTAAACGATGTGAAAGTATGTCTCTTTCTCCCTGTGCATTCGATTAACCAACCGGGTTGCGATATCTACCAGTGGAAGTTCAGGGGGAAAATGATGAAAATTATACACACACGCACGCACACATAAAAACACACACAACACACACACACACACAGAGAGAGAGAGAGAGAGAGAGAGAGAGAGAGAGAGAGAATAAATACGTATACATGTATGCTTTGGGTAATGGAAGATAAAAAGCATTCCCCGAGTTCAGTAGGCCACAATAGCCTACAATTAACAGTTGCAACAGCATGGAATTTTAGCAGTTTTATTGGTGATGGGAGGCGTTATCTTGTTATTATTAGGAAAAAAGACAAGGTCAGCTAGCCCATACTGTACATTGCATGTCGAAATCGACCCGTTGAGTCAACTTCCTTTTCATCCCACATATAATGCTTGAATACGCTAACTACATATGTCATCCTTGTTTGAGTAAAGTGGAGCCGTATCCTCACGATAATCATAGTTCGTACACTAAGAGGCATCTGTAATCATTTTGTCTCTCACTTTTGGTTGTAATTTCTAAATATATTATAATTAGTATTATTATTATTATTATTATAGAGAATAATCAAACCCAAGGACTTGCGTGACATGAATTTCATTATCTAGTTGAGAGGCCGTGTTTCAGCTATCGCTCTAGTATATTTGATAACCAGGGTTTTCAGTTAATAGGGCTAATATATTATATTCTGCTGATTCCGTGTTAATATTCATGTCTTCCTATAGTAATTACCATTGTTTTTTTTTTGTTTGTTTGTTTTTTTAATCTGTGGCGCAACTAAGCAGTTCTAATGGTTATCCAATACGCCCTCTTGTTTTGAATGTGCACGTGTAAAGAAAATGTCCTAGCATCCGATTGTTATGAATGTGCGGATTTATAGGAGAAAATATGGATTCATTGATCGATAACAACTCTAGCGACTCCCATCCTGGGTTTTAGTCACTACATCGTAGGTTGATTCTGGTTATATGCAACCATCCTTTATTACTGTTTTCAAGAAAAAAATAATTTGGTAAAAATCCACCGCCTATTTCTCCTTCACCCATTTAAATAAGATGAATGAATGAAATGTAATAAAATCGCAACAACGAAAGTGATTGAGAAAGGGGGGGGGGGAGAAGATTAAAAGAAAGAAAAAAGAGGAAAACAGAGCAAGTATGAATGAAGGAAATACCCACATCAATCAATACTTGCATCAGAAAAAGGGCCTGCTTTGTCTCTAGAAATCCTGGCGAGAATTTTTACCAGGGGTGCCCGTTTCCGTCACACGTACTAAATGTCAGTTGTAACTATTCTCAAAAACTTTTTTTTTCAAAACAAAGACTGCTTCTATCGTATTCAATCGGCACCTTTTTGACAATGCCTCGGTGGCACGGAACAACGTCCAATTATTCCTGGGTGTGAGCCACAGCAGTTTTGCCCTTTTGTCATAAAAGATACGGCCTTGTATGTGGTTGGATTCATTCCCACATCGTAGTTCCCCATGAAGTTTACAGGGTTATAGTAGAGATATTAAGATATAATATGGAGTTCAATTCTTTGAGGTGGTTAGTTTTTCCGTCTGGATTTAGTTTTATCAAATTGAAATTTCCGTATGAAACAATCTTTTGAGGCTATCTATTAGCCATTCGGTCATTTAATAAGGCTTTGTGCGATATACCACAAAGTAAATAATCGTCGTGAAACCTCCCAGCAAGTAATTGTACTACCAGTTGTAAATGTGTTTCTTCTTTGGCAGTTTACCACTAGACGACAGAGTACAATGAAAAATATGTATGTCGTTTATGCAACTCTGCTTCCAATCTTAAAATGAATAACTTGATATCTGAATAAAGACGTAACCAATGTTTTGGTAATTTATTTGATCAAAATAATGAAAACCGCTCACTGTCTTATATGTGCGTGAGTTAGGATGAATTAAATAAAGAAACGGATAAAGAAAACACATTAATTTGTAAATAGACTAATAAATAATCAAATAGGCAGACGACTTTGTGAACTTTGAAATAAAATATTTTGCTCTCGTCTGAGACATTATGACAACAGTGCATCAGTCGTTCAAGTGATAATGTTAATGATAATTAATTGCCATAGACCGATAGTAGATTTATCATATCGGATCATGTCTTCTCCAATTGTTTCAAATGAATATGATTTCCTGTGCTCTAACTTTCTAATGTTATTATCGAGATTTAAAGAAATTTGTCTGAAGGTTATTCCAGATACAAAAGGTTATTAATTCAACAATGAAAGTCCATTGTAGCTTTTAAGTATCAACAGGTTTTGATTAATTTTAGCTACTGAAGTGGGTTTTCTCGAATATTAACACCAGGACAGAAAGAATAAGAAAAACGAAAAAAAGTCCCAGATTGTTTCAGACGCAAAATGACATTTATCCTAGAAAACTTCGGTGCAGTGACCTAAATACATGTAGCCAATCAAGTCGTCTGAGTTCTTGTGCTGAAACAACCTAGCGTAATCCACCCTCGCGTTGGCTATCTTATCACACGCAGACAGTATATACTCCTAACCACAAAATTACATCGATATTGTCTGAAACAGCATGTTGTACTTGAACTCGAAATGTCTGTTCTTCTCCAAGGCATGTTTTTACAAACAGAAGGTCAAAGGAAACTGCGAACCGTCTGTTCTTTTGATCAATTGAAACAAACTTTAGGAGCAGGTTGGCTTGCCTGGGGGTTATTTAAGATGGAAAATATTGAGCTTCATAAAACCAACAACACAAGCAAAATTATACATCACGAAAACAATTCTAAAACATTAATTTTAAGTCCATCGACATACACCCGTGCAATTGTGCCATACTTCTCTAATAAGTTTTTTGGGGCAGAGGGGTGATTTTGTGTTTGTATGAAAGGAAAGGGATATCCTCCCGTTGTTTCCCATCTGTGATCATCACTTTTTTGCATCTTTAGTCACGTACACAAGGAAACGTCGTTAAGGTGCAGTGTGTGTGTATGGCTGTATTCCCAGAGCTTTTAGATCGATCTATCTCCGCGGGGAGTCTCACTAGATTACTGTCAGAAAATCCGGCTTAAATGTCCGTCCCGCCTACTACAAGCTGTAAGGGGGTAATTAACTTTCGTGTCCGCTCGGCTGACAGCTATTTAGCGTGAACCCCCAGGGAGTTAGGTCGATCTAAAGTAGATCGATCTAATCTCTGGAAATGGGGTCTATGTGTGTGTGTGCGGCAGTAAGGCTGCCATATTAATAGTGCCCGCTTGACAAGAAGGTAGCATTAATAGAATTGTCAGTTATAAATACATGCAAAGGTTTTTGACATCTTGGTGACATCTTTGTTGTATTTTTTACAGCTTTTGTCAGATTTTTCACAGCCTAATGACAAAAAGCATTACTTTTTTAAACACCGAAGACTGCGATATGCCATATAAGTAATGGTGATAATGTAAACTTGCCTGTATATGTTTGTACCGCAAACGTTCTTGGTGTACATTCACTATAAAACAAAGATATTTTGTTGTAACTTCGCTCATAGAATTATAAAATGAGTACAACATTACTTCTTATTTCCAGCTAATTTGCCATCCTCTCTTACAGCATGAATCAATGCACTTTAGAGAACATAATGTTTTATAATTCATCTTTTTTAGATACGACAAACTGTCGTGGAAGTAAACCATCTGCTTGCTTCCGGTTTAATTTGAAAGCAACGATAGATCCAGACGAAATATCGTCTGCTCACCTGTGGGTGTATAAGAAAGCGTCCCCAAGACATCGCAATGCGACGCTGATGCTTTCTGAAACCTTCCAGTCCGGGCATCACCTCGGAGTAAGGTCAAGACGAGTTGCAATGGCTGACATAGGTTCTGGTCACGGTTGGTTTGAGTTTCATGTTAAACACCTGGCAAAGAACTGGCTTGCCAACCCAAATAACAAGCGTGGAATTAAAATTTCATGCAAAGCATGCAAAGGGGATGGAGGTATTTTTGACAGTGTTCCCGTAGAAACCGAGGGCGACCTTCGGCCATTCCTTGTCATAAAAAGTGGACAATCAAAGAATCGTCATCGACAAAAGAGAAATACTGTTTGTGATGGAAACACTGCAGAGTGCTGCAAACAGACCTTCTACGTCTCTTTCGAGGCCATAGGTTGGACAGACTGGATACTACAACCAAGTGGGTACTACGCCAATTACTGCAAAGGTTCATGCGAAGGTGAGTTTTTCCCTAGAAACGATTGTCGGTAATTGCAACTTTTTGAGAAATGAACGTTTTATCTTACGTGGTTATTCTTCGGGGAGCTATTTAAAGATAAAAGAAGAGATATCGGTAATGACTACAGCTTATCGTCGATGTTAAAATATCTTATTCTAAGTACTGTACTTGAAAATGTGTTCGTTTGATTATTTACTATGTTTGCTAGTAATTCTCGGCCCTTTTTCAACATGTTTCGTTAATCGTTGAACAAGCACTGCATGTAGTTCGCGGTGATGTGCCCATCAATTGGATCAGTTCTTGGTATTTCCAGGTAGCACACTGCCGAGAAGCCATCACACCACGGTGATACAGACCGCGGCTCTGCTGGAACGCGATGTGGCAAAACGGGAAGAGCTAACTCCATGCTGCAACCCGAAGAAAATGTCCCACATCTCTTTACTATACTACGATAATGATGGGAGGATGTACAAGCAAAACATGCCCGACATGGTGGTAGAGTCTTGCGCATGTTCCTGATCTTTGTGATGCCATAATGCTTATTCATGTTTTCAACTGATCTCTGTATTTGTGTGCCAAGTGTAGTGTACTTCATCAGCCTAAACAAGAAGAAAACGTCGCAGGAGGCGCTTTATTCCTTGGAACTGGGATGAAATACTAACTGCCTCAACAGTAGGAATTTCCTCATCCCCCTGGCACTCTTTCAAAGAAGATAGTTCACAAGTAGTCACTGAGTACCTCTTTGGACAAAACCTACTTTATGAGTGTATGAAATTGAGTGTATGTAACTGAAACAGGGTGATAACGTGAGACGGCTATTCACAGCCAGTTTCAGAGTTCTTGAAAGTAATATCCTTACTTGCTCATCATTTAAATCGCAGTTATTGGTATGATGAAAAAATCTAAGATTAGGAGTAAAACAACAGGGTTTCTAAAACCCAGGCTATCTTACTTGAAATTGAAGACTTTCTGTACAGCAGTTATTCTTTTAGGTCATATAAACCAATATTTATTTGCCATCATACTTTGGTCTTTATAAACTGCAGTCTAAGAGCCACCTACGTGTCCCATTTGTAAGAGAACACTTGCAGACACACACGCACGCAGACACACACACACACACACACACACACACATGCTTCGTTATCTGTTTTTGTTTTGACGTAATCCTAAGAATCGAGCCTCTTACTTTTCCCGGTGAGTTTTCGTAACGTAGCGGCTCCTTAAACTGCAGCACTTAAAGACGTGTACTTAAAGAATTTTAGATCTCATCATCTTTTTTCATTCATGTCGTTAGTAGCATTTATTTCATCAAGTCTTTCATTTTTACGTTAAGTTAGCTTATTTTTAACGGTTTGTATTACGTTTCAATTGTTATATAGCCGGTTAATGTCGTATCTCCTAGCGTGACATTATCTATTCTGGTAATGAAGATGTAGGGTGATTAAAAATGGTCCTGGAGTATGTAAAGAGGAAAATAATCAAGATTAAGCGTATTACAGGATGTCTTATTTTAGCCAGTGACCTTGTATTTCACGAGCATGCCAAAATGAAACATCACCCATTATTTTACAGACATGATTTGTAAAAGACGTATTATTTCAAAGATCTCAGCTTGTCGTCATTCTTTCTTAGAACAGATGCATCAGCGTCTCAGTTCAGAGTCAAAGCGCAATGTGAGTTTGGTTTCAAGGAATGTACATGCCTTCCAATCACTGTAGTTTATATTTAACTCTTTTTGAATAACTGATCTCTGTCCTCTCCCATACCATTTGCATTTAAGATTTAACACTCTGGATTGTGTTTATTTTAAAAACAAATATTGATTTTAGTGTTTGCAGCAACATAGTTGTTTGCGAAAGAGAAAACGTGGTAGAAAACGTGGAACAGGCATTTATTTTTGCCCAAAAGTCTTTCCTGTAAGATCCTCGACAGGACACTTTCCAACGACAGGTCAACGCACGACCCGATTTAATGGTACACGACCATCACATTTCGACTCTGACGTCATGGGATCACTTAACGTGATATGCAAGTATCCCGATGTATAGTTTTATTGTTCAGATAATTTGTGTTCCCCTGTATCCAAGGGACTTTGCTCCATTCTGATTTTCATCGGCATATGCTGTTTGCTGATAGAAATCGATGCAGACACATTAGAACCAATGGATTTGAGATGGGCAATTTTTCTCTGGATGACTCTACATATTAAGACACATGTCTGCTCATTGTAAATGATGTAGGCGAACAGGCGACGCTTTGAACAAACCACTTAGTGTTAAAAGGCTCTTTATGTTACCCCTAGATCCTCTCCCAAGCGGTGCAGAGTGTAACAGTTATTATTCCCCCCTTTACTTCAGCATCATCCCGCTTTTGGTCATACTTTTCATATTCTTTAGAACTGAAAAGATCAACTATGCCAAATGTGATTTCCTTATGACTTTACTCATATCAGTATATTGATAAGATTATCACAGCCAATGTGGTTTCTACATGGTGTATTCATGTCGAGTGCGCTCCAACGGACGTTAAACAATAGCAGACCGCTACTTCACAAATACAAGAACGTAAGACAGTAAAAAAATAGCTGGATCTCCGTTTTGCACGGTGCTTTATTAGGTCCCGGGTGCTAGTAATATGGAAATATTTATGTAATGTAAAGAATAACATTTAGATTGTGATACAAAGACCAAGTGACAGGAATCTTTGACTTACGGTGCACGACGAGGCAATGCAAAATAGGGCGTGATAGGGATGTTTTGATATTTGCTATGTAACAATGTTGAACAATTCAACGGATAATAGGTTTCAAATTAGTGTCCTACACTATAATAAGTTATCGTCTAGTAACGTCTATAAGATATATCCGAGTGTAAGCTGTATCTATAGTCAACTATGAGGTTGTTCTGAATCTCATATAACAGCACAGCCGTTAACTATTTAATGAAAGCGCTACGAGAAGTTCAGCAAAGCATTGGACTTTTCAAAGTGATGAGTAGATTGTTCAATGGACTAGTGTATTCAATGTGTTCATTTATTGGTCATCTTTGTGCCGATGTCGGCTATAATCACTGCCAACAACAAAGTTATTTGAGGAAATGTTGCATTCCATGCGTTATGTATAATTGTAAATAAATTCAAGTGTAACTAATTAAAAATGTAAAACAGATACAAATTGCTTTGTTATTTGATTTGAAATTACTTAAAGATTGTGATTTAAATGCATTACGCGGCTGTATATCAAAAGAAAAGACTACTTCATATCTCCAATAATTGCAAGGAATAAAAGTTCTGGCTTACTCGTAACAAGGGAAAAATCCAGGGGCCGTCTTCAACAGATGCGGGAAATGTTGGGGGTTAAGCTCTTGAGAATATACTTAATTTTCACCTTTAAATAAACTGATCCAAAAATTGACTTGTGTTGTAGATATTTTAATAAACGTTTGGTCAACAGACCCCAACCGCAGATGTCCAGTCTCAAAAGGTCCCTGGATTGACCATTGTGACCTTCTGTCCAGTGATGCTTAAAATTAACTCTTTATTAGATTAAATAACTAGGAAACGGTGGCATCTTTAAACGACACACTTGGGAGTTAGATCAAAGAGTTAAGAGTTGGTCGTTCCTCTTGATACTTTAAAGCAATGCTACACAAAAGAAGGCCCGAACCTATGTCAAATGTCACCAGGGTATCAGTTAACGTAAATCTTGTCTTGCTCTATAATTCTAAAACAAAATGAAATTTCTGGAGTGAGGGGCGGAGCTGGGACCCTGGATAATCTGGCAAACAGCTCCCCCATTAAAAGCAAAATCAAAAGGCACTTTTAATTATAAAATTGTTATGATAATAATATATTAGAAAGTGGTTTGGAACATAACAGACGTGTGTGAGTATGGACGGGGGTGGGGAGTTAGGCAGGAGATCATAAAGTCACCTCATTTGCCGACAAAGAGCTTTCTGAAAATTGCTATGTCAAAATCAAGAACGGTATTTTAAATAAATACCACAGAAAAAAATGTTAAAAGGCCCTTAGTTGGATTTCGAGAAAAATAATAGAAAGACGGATTTTCCTGAAGAAGGGCAGTTTTCTAGAGTTAACTGGTTCCCTCTTATCCAGTCAACTACTGCATTTGCCTTTTTACGTGACTTAAAGACATATAGGCGATTTAGTTTGTTATGTTAAAACCTCTTCAAATGCTTCAAATAAGGAAAGATAGTAATTAATCTCTATCAGAACTATGTAACTTAAGTAACGGACAGTGGAAAACGTTTGCATTTACTCTGTGTTAAAAATAAAGTGATTGAAGTTGATAGTTTAAAGGCTTTGGTATCAAAAGCGCGATCAAAATCCGTTTTTCTTTAAGTATTTAGCACCGGTATTCCGTACCCACCTTTTCTTTTTTACCAAGTCAATTACATTTAATCCGGTCATTTTCCTTTCTCGCGCAAATACCTGAATACGATTTTTGAGAAGATATTGTGTTTTCATAATGTCAACAGGATGTAACAGGTAATTGAGATATACATATTAAATACCTTTAAAAGAAATAGAAAAAAAGGACGCAAGAGACTAAAAATGTCATAAAAATATCAACAAAGGCTTTTTAAGTAATGGAAAAATGAAGTGCGATGCAGCATGAAACTTGTTTGCTTTGCAAAATGTACTTTAAATCATTTCTTAATTAATTTGATAATAGTCTATTTTATGTCGAACGAAAAGGAGAAACATAAAAAAAGGAAAAATCATTGAAATCAAACAGTGCAAGTTTGACTGGGAAATTATGTAAATTAGAATCACTTTGTACACTTGCGCTATTCTAATGTGACCTTCTTTCTCTTACTGCGAATGTCAGGGGCCTTGGAAATAAACTTGACACTTTGAATAAGCACGTGCTGTTCAACGTGCGAAATCGACATTGGAATTGACAGATGTAACCAGCCGGGCCTTCTGTATACGGTGTATGTGGTATTTAGTCAGTCTGCGCAAAAATACCTGGAGCGTCTGCGTTTTTTTCGCGCCAAGCGGTCTGCCACTTGAACCCCGTGTCAAATAGTGGTTTCCAACTTTTCAAGTCTTCTTCTTGTTACTTTAAACGTAGCAGTTGCAGACTACAACTAATTTTTGGAGGGTGGGGGATGATTGTAATTTGTCAAAAATGATTTTTTGGGGAGTAAAACACTATTCTTTCAACTTAAGCAACTCACCCTTCTAATTCACAATACCACGCGACAATAGGGAACTGCGTCTGTAAATATTACTTAATAAATCAGGTCAAACGCACAAAGGTGCGCGACGCAAACCCCTGGATTGTTTTTTGTATCACTTTAATGTGTTCTGCCGAGGATAAAAAGAAGCAGCCTTCGAGTATGCAAAATATGACATAGAAACTAACTAGATTAAAATCACCTTCAAGCTATTATTATTTAAGTTAGGGAATATAAAAAGGCCGGTGTGTACAGCAGGTAAGAACATATATGTATGCCTGTTACGACTAGGTACCCAGGGCATCAATTCCTGGCCTTGAAATCGGGTGGCCACTTTCATACAATACATCCCTTTAAGAACAACATTATAAGTCATCGAAGCAGTGGTCAGGCCGACTTCAGCTGGTCTCCAGGCAGTGGATCGTCGGAAGGGTGGACAATGACCGTTACTTTTTCCTGAGGCAAGTCATAAAGTCGGCAATCAGAGATGTTGACAATCATAACAACAAAATAACAACAACACTTTGCAGGTAAATAAAGTCAATCAAAAGATTTATTATATATACCATTCGGTATAGTTAGAAGGTATGAAGTCATGGGCCTGCCATGACGTAAATGATATTTACTCAGTCCACGTGTGCCCAAATTGTAAGCTAACCGCAAAACTATTTATTCTGTCCACTTTCTATGCAGGTCATATTTATCATTGCAAGAAAGTCACTTAGTCAATTGCTGATGATCTTTGACTAAGTCAACAGGACTGATCCCCGTAACACCTGGGATATGCTGTAACAAAACCGGTCAATCATTTAAGTAACCAAAGAATTTGACCGCTTTCAAACATTGCTCAAAATGCCATCATCAGATAGAGAATATACCTCCGTAATTAAGTATCTCGGTGTTTATTCAGTTAGGAAAAACAAATATTTACCGTACAGTCCTAAACGGCAGATAAATACCTTTCTGATGTGAACAAGCATTAGCACAAAATTAAAGTATACAGTTGCAAAAAGGACAATCTTAACTTTTCTAAATTTATCCTGCCACTCCTTATAAGAACAATTTCACAACGATAACATGTTGGCGGGAAAAGTTGTCAAATGACAATAGCCCAAATAAAAATCAAAATAAAATTGCGACATTCGTGTCCTGAAAAACTCTCATCTCTAACAGTGTGATGAAATTGAGCTAGTACTTCCAGCAGCTAAAACAACGATGCTCCTCACCCGAATGGATATGTGATTAATACCTCCTTCAAAATGTTCATGTTAGCAACATAAAAACAAAATGCACTGGCACTTTCTTTAGTTTATGGTTGGTCGATTGTACTTTTGGACGGATTTCCAACGTGGAATAATTAATGAATAAAGCTTCTTTGTTTTAAATCGCCACAAGTAAATCTGAATCATTCTCGAACCATTTTGATGCGTAATACAATCTTTTTTTTTTTTTTTTTGGTTAACGACTCACAGTGAGAGATCAATAGCAAGGTGATATGCAGTCACCCATCAAATGTACTCATCCAATCTCCAAAACCAACATTTTACTCACATATTCCCCATAGTACTTTCCTACACGCAAACCCAATTTCCAGAAGCCGATATTTAACTCAAACATCCACTAGCATTGTTCGATAATTGACATACCCTTCTCGACAATACTTAAAAAGTGACAAACCTCACAAGCTAATGTGTCATCAACATCGTTTCCAATGTGTGTAAATTATTAAAAAACTGTCGATCATCTTTGCAATGTCTGTCTGGGGGTTATTTTTATCCTGTGACACTGGCGGTTACCGGTTGATTTTTCGATATGGTCCCATTTGAAAATTACCAATTCTAAAATGCACCTTCAAAGGCCCAGACAAGACGAAATCCGAATCTTCACAGTAGCCCTAATATTAACAGGTCGTTCACATATTAGGAAGAAGAGAATGAGAACGGTAACCTATTTGCCTAGTTTGCCTGTCTTGTCGGTTTATTTTCCGTAGAAGGTATTCTCCCTCCCACCTACCCCACTCGTATTGCAATGCTACCACTGAGGAGGACTCCCATGAACTTACTTTCCCTGACCTTATCTTTCAATAATTAACTGTAATTTTTATTCAATCTCACACACTTTCACTCGGATTCACTATTAACTTAACGGGGGTCCAGACAGTACTGAATATTGGCCCCACAGCAGCTAGGTAGCCGTTTTGGGGGAGGTAAAACATACAGACATTCTCAATAGCACTAATAGAGTTCGCAGATAAATGCAGTGAAAGGAACATAACGACCTCTTTGGAGAGTCGCTGGCTTATGAACAAATAGCCTTTTCTTGAAAATGTGTCTCTCTAATGAGAATTCTTTCAAATGGAAGAACTACATTGTATGTAATATCTTTGGACAATGTGGTTGATTTAAGTTTTTTTCAGAACAGTCTGCCATACTTAGATAACAAATTGTCAGTTTACAGTATGGAATACAGAGATACTATAGGGACTGAGGTGCTGTGTTTGTATTGTAAGCATCCCTCACACTTTTTCACTAAAACAATAATGAATGTCCAATTATTTATATGACAATATTGTAATATCTATGATAAATCATTATACTCACTACTTAATATAACAACAGAAACTGCTGAATTTAATTTTAAAAAATGAATAGACAAAAATAACTACAAAAGCACTGAGAAAGTGCAAACCTCTATCGAGGCAGCTCAATTCTCATGATTATAAATCCTTTAATTAGTGAATCCCAATCAGCAGAATTCTGAACTATCCTGAAAATTTATCAAAATCCATCCATAACTTTTTGGGTTGGCTGTTCAGGGTATCCTATCCAGGATTATCCTGCCAAATCAAATTTTCTTTAAAAAATGAGCAATTTCTCCTTCTCTTGAATCATTGATTCAGAAAGAAAAGTAGCTATGCAGACTTAGAAAATGTGACCTTGGGACAAACATGCAAAGAATACCTTTAACAAACAAAGGCAAAAACAAAACCTCCTAGGTGGAGGTAATATAATCCAATTAGATAATAAAATCTACCTCACCAAAACCAGACTAAAACCTGTCATTCTCAATTATTAAAATTTAATATAAATCTGGTCAAAAGGAAAATAATAAAAATTACATCCAAGAGCCATTTCACAATCAACTCATGCAATTTTGTCACATAACAACCTTAATTTTGCCATGCATAACAGAGGTTTTAAGTGATAATTCTTTTCTTGCAGGAGACTTGGACTTGCTGCGACCTCCAGCCCCTGTAGGACTCGCTCCACGGGACCCACTGCTAGGTTCTGGGGCTGGATTCTCCGCCTCATACTTTCTGGCTTCGATGCGGGCCTCTGCCTCCTCTATCATGCTCAAACCCTGAATAAAATATGGTTGAAATGGGCTTTAAAATTTTCATCAATATTTCCTAAATACAGCTAAATTAGATATGAAGTTTGATACTAATATGGTTTTCTTCTAAATTAATTTCATTTTCCTGGGTTTATATTCACATAAAAAAAAACAAAAAACAATTTGATCAAATAAATTACTCATAGTTTGAAGTTTGAAATCTTCACTTTATTTCCCTATATTGGTATAAAGATTTGGATTTTCATTTGAGATATTTTCAGCATTTATTATAATTAATATCATATTAGACAAAAACAATTTTTATTTCAATTTGTTACTAGTGGAAAAGAAAAATACCAGTACTGTCAAAAAGATCAGATTTCACTTATCCCCAAGAGCTGTACATCTATGAAAGTATGCTTGGCAGAAACATGATCCTGACATTTCAACATCATATTTAAATTGACCAACACTACAATTCTTTAGTATAATACAACCTATGCCAGGTGCCAATCACACATATACACTATACACACAACCTATCAGTCAAACTGACCATATGTCAATCTAGTCCATGAGTAATACCTGGAGACGATAAACAAATCTAACCAAACAAAAAGCACTCTTAGTTTATCAAGGTGCCACATCCAACAGTGTCTCAAGTGGGTACTTACCAGCTCATGATGATACCATTACATAACTGCAGTGACAGAGCCGTATCATTCCCTTTTGTTATTTGGTTTTTAAAGATTTCAAAAATAACATCATCTTACTGACATTTTTAAAGCAAATGTGTAAAAAAAGAAAGTAATAAAAAATAATCTGGGAATTGGGTTTTGGTTTGAAAGTTAGAAAACCATGGTTCTGTTGGATGTTCTCATACCTAGGCAACAAATCTACCAAAACTAACCCAACCGGAAGACCCTGAAAACAACTCTTCAGGACAAAAAGAGAATAACTGATTGTGAAGTCATGATAATCTATGACTGGTCAAAAGCGAAAAAACATACACGTATATTATCCTGTAGTAGTTGCCCTAGAGATTGATTTTCTGGTTCTGTATAGATGTGTGAGCATGCACTAAAAACAATGTGAAAATGAGCTCAATCTCAATATGTTCAATCAACTGCAGCATTTGATTGTTCACACTTGAGCCCTGTCCCACTCCCCTGCCTGAAGTAAACTAACCCAGACTAACTCCTGCGATCAGCTGTTTAGTCCATGATCAGCAGTGATGTTTACATTCAACCAAGAAGGTCTAGTTACTCAAGCAAATCAATAAAATTGTTTTGCTCACAGAACCACAAATATTTAAGCACACACAGGAATTCTATATTATTATTATTTTTTTTTTTGACTGAGAGAAGACTGTGTTGCTCTTTCTTGCATTTTCTTTTGGAAAAAACAGAAAGAGGACAAATGGCCTCCTATCTGATTGGATGTAATTTAATTCTAAGCCACTGTAGGAATACCCTGTACACCTGACACCTTATATAAAGTGAATCAAAGATATAGTCTTTTGTATAAAGATATTGGGCAATATGTTTTCCTTTTGTGCTCAATTTTTTTTCTCTGTAGTATTTAAAAAGGATGGTGCATTTCTGTATTTTGCCAGCGATGGTACCTGCTATAGATATATACCTGATATGTATGTATTTATACATTAAATTCTATAAACAGAGGTTGTGCTTGTCAGTTACATTACAGTAATAACCTACCGACAACAATAAAGAGATTTATGCTACCCGGTCAATAATTGTTTTTCTACTTAAAATATACTTTTAAATTTATGGTCCAGTCAGTTGGAAATGTGTACATAAAATATTTTTCTTATAATTACTGACATGCAATTTGCTTATCTTCACCTGGCAATCATTAATAAAGCATTCTGATCACTATTCAGGTAACAAGTCAGTCAAAAAGTAAGTTGTTTACCACTCTTGTAGCCATGGTCACTGTAAGTTTTATTCCTTTGAATAAAGGGTACTGGAGGAGACTGATTGTGCCCAGAAGTGACATGTAGTGGTGTTAGAAGTGAAGCTGAGTGGTCATTTTAAGTACAATATTCTCTGCCTAAAATGCATTAAGAAAAAATGTTATCTTACCAAGTTGTTTGGAAAACTGCTTTTTCCTCTGACTACATGTCTTCTCTCCCGTTCACCTCCAGCTTAAAATGATCACTCAGCTTCGCTTCTAACACCACTTTACGTCACATGACATCACACTTCCGGCACAACTTTAACTGATTCTCGTCTCCTCCGGTACCCTTTATTCCTCATCTCTATAATGGGCTCCTTGTAAAAATGTTTTTTTTTTTTTAATCACAAAGGTCCAATATGCTGAAAAATGCGGAAAATTGCTCTAAAATCTGCCAGTATGATGAAGGTATGATGAAAAAGTATACTGATGCAATAACTTTTTTTTTCTAATCTGTGGAGATTTTGCACGAGCAACATGTTGCAGAAAAGTCTGGTCCAATTTGGGAAATTCTAATAAGATTTGTGACATGAGAAAAATCTATTGCCCAGGTTACTGATAACAGCATATTCTAGAAAATAACTATGCAACTGAAGGAAATGATTAACACAAAAGGTTGCAGATGCACCTCTTACTACTAGAGCAATGTGGATAATACCAAAGAATTTTGTCAAGCTTTGGTCTCTGAACACTATGGATAACAACCTCTTTCAATTGAAAATCTTTAATCAGATAATACGATATTAGAGTGTTACAAAAAAGCTGTGGGCACATTCCATTTCACCTGCCTTTAATCTAACCAGTATCTCTCAGAATTTGCTGTATGCATTTCTAAGCCTTTCTAAATCCCCTAGCTAGCCATCAGGAGAGTCAGAAGGCAGGTTTTCAGCTCAGTTTGTAAAGGAGGTTCAAAATGACTGAAATAAGATCTTGATGAAATTAAATCTGATTGCTTCAATTTGTACGGAATGTCTAAGAGTCCCATTTGTGGTTAACCACAAATACACAAAAAAGGCAAAAAATGGAACAGTGGTTCATCATAAGCTGAGTCATATTTTCCACAGCAACATCTTATGAGTTAGACAGATGAGGGGGAGGGGGAAATCTCTCATATCTTCCTGACTAGATAAATCGGAGCAAAAATGTGCCAATTTAAAAATAGATCTTCAGCTATGTATAAGAGTGCAAACAAACTACAGAGGAGCCAGTACTGGAAATGAAGAGAAACCCAAGCTTCTTTAAGTGATCAAATAGAAAGTTCAAGCATGAAGGTTAACCCCCTGATGTTCATTCCAGTGGATACTTCCATTCTCTAGCCACACCCACTGCAGGGATCCACAGCTGCCACCACTGATCACAATGTGGCATTTTAAAGTCAGAGGGCAATACAATGTACTGATATAAATTACACATTTAAAGAAACCTTTTTAATTATTTATATAAAATTTAAAAATCTTCATTTAAGTTATTTCTATCATTTAGTTCCCACTATCAATCTCAACAGGAATCACTTAGATGAAGTTAGTATACAACACACTTACCATAGAAGGTGGAAAAAGATTAATTTTGCTAAGATGTAAGTGTGAGCCTAAAAACTTACTGATCTATTACTTCCAATTTAATTCTACATGTAATGTAGCCTCTGAGATAATTTAACATAATGATTTTATTAAGATTATAAAAAATCTTGGTGTCAAATGTACATTAATATACAACTAAAACAACCCATAATATAGCTAGGGCAAACATGTTTTTAAAGTTTGAACTGAAAAAGGAAAAGAAGGGAATCCAAATCTTAACTGACACTCATGGTGAGCTTACAATCAGACAGCCCAAAGGGGATAGTCTCTTTTCTTACATAATACCAGACATTTTGGTCTACTGAATCTGAATTATATACTATTCTTGTTCATCAAACTAAAGTCATGGCCATGCCGCTTTTGACTAGGTATTGTTCCAGGTGTCATTGCAAAAAAGTTTATCAGAGTTCACACTCACATTGTGACAGCAGTAGCTATTAGCAGTGTGTGTGTATGTGTGTTTATACATGTATATATTACAAATATAGTAAAAAGGAACTGAGTTGTAACAGATACCTTGCTATGATAACATAGTCTTTCTACTAGTGTAAGTAATAGTGTGTTATGTGTATGGACAGTCTAGCAATTGGCATCAAATGATAGCTTACTGTTTGACTGTGTACATGAGTTCAATAGTAAAGTATGAGGGTCATTAGTAACGGTACTCTTTTACTTACACAAGCACCAAATGGTTTAATACCAAAACACTTGACACAAAATTATTAGCTAGGACAGTTTTAAGAATTTCAATGTTTGTTTACATTTCAGTGAGTCGAATAACCTCCCGGAAAAAAAAAAGAACTTTACTCTGTTGACTGAAGTAATTACATACGAGGATATTTCTTACTTTTTTGTCATAGAATACCTGATAATGGGCTGTCAAACATATCTAAATGTGATAAAAAGGCCCTTTAAAAGTGGATGCGGGGCTTTTTGTACATTAGAAAAGAATAAACAAAATCTTCAATTTCCAAATGAATCCACCCCTCTTATGTAATTCCTGCTAGATTTACTACGTCTAGGGACTTAAATAAAACAATGTAAATATAGTAACATTGCTGTGCAACCAAGGGGTTACCATTTTCACCCCAATCCAGGCTATAAAAAACGTAACTGAGGACTTTTGTTCTAGTATCTTGCTCACTGATCATGACCCTATGCAAACCTGCACAAATGTTTTTACAACTAAATATCTCTTCAACTGTTTAGAATGTAAATTATTGATATAATTTCAGCTCCAAGAAAAAATAAGAACCTTTTTTCATGGTTCAAAAGAATCTTTTAAAACCATAATGAAAACCACAGAGCAAAACATAAAATTCTATCCATTTTAATCATATTCAATGTCTATTAGACTACTGCAAACATTTTGTATGGTTTTAGATGGATTTTTAGTGAAAGTGTATCCCTTTTTTTTACCTACAAGGCCTTTCCTGGTCTGCAGTGTGTCAAATCTACAAATTCCAGAACCTTGTAACTCTGCCCCTACACAGTCCAAGCACTCTCAATGCCACAGAGTTTTACATGTAAACCTTCCAAGATAAGGAGACAGCTTACATCAATAAAAAAAAAAGAAGGCAAATATTCATGAACCTTGCCCAGTTCTGGACATGTGCTGTCCAGAATGGAGCTCTATGTCTCTCTCACTTCTCTATCTCCTCGCATCACATCGCCAATTATGTATTTTTTCTTACCCATACATAAAAAGTTGCAGCCCCTGCAGACACATCCCTAACTTCATCCAGCTCATGTTGCTTCATCAGCTCCTTGGCCCTCTTGGCAATCTGCATATTGTTGGCCAACTTGTCAGGATCATACTCCAGACAACGGCGCTTAAGACCATCTTTTCCCGTCTTTCCAACCAGAGCTTGAACATTTTTCCAGATCTGTAAATATTAAGATAGATGTAATATAATTTTAAAAAGTAGTGATGCCTGCCATAATGTTGAACTGTTATTCACAAGTACTGAATGATGTGTAGCACGTGTTGTCTGAGTTGCAATGCTAAGTCCTCATCATGACTTCAAATAACATTACTTGAAATACGTTTAGCTTCTTTTTTTTGGACATTTCTTATAAATAAACCTGGCATTAAAATAAAACATTCCTTTCAAACTATATATTAAACTACTTGTAAGCTGTGTTATTCAGTAATTCCAGCTGCCAGCATGTTTAATATGGTCTGCCAGTTTGGGGGGGGGGGGTGTTTCTATACCCACTCAAGGTTTAACTTGACTGTTATTCTTGAATTCCTTAAAATATCAGAGTACAAAATGTGTAAATTTTTCTCTTTGTTGGACCCAGTTATTTAATGTGTCAAGCTGCTGTCAAAGCAAAACGTTCTTTATATGCTAAATTTTTATTCAATTCATATGCACTAAAAAGGGGCACTGAAGTTTGAACTTGCTCATACTACACACACACACAGCTTACTATAGCTTTTTCCTTCTGTCCTCAATTTCTGTCTACTTAACCAAGTTTATTACATTATACGTAGCCATGACAAAGCAACAGCAAATATAAACAAATTTAGAATTTAATTTCAAACAAGTCTAATAACATTGGCAGGAGACATACTTAAGAAAAGAGTGGATGTGGATTAAGCATGGCATGAAAAAACAACAGTTAACCACATGACCAGAAGAGAAATAGAAAAACTTATTATCAAATACAGAGAAAACATGTTTACATGTACAAAATATAAGAACAGCTCCTATGGTTGCACTACAAATATCATTTAAAAGATAAGTAAGGGATGGTGATTCAGCTGTGTTAGATATCGCACTATTTTTTATTCCATGTCAATCAAGTACTTCCTGACACTAGGTTAGTGGTAAGCACTGTACTTGAAACTCTATTTGAACATGTACATTAATTCACATGGACAGATGTCAAACCAGCAGTACGTCAATGGCATGAGTCTGGCTGGCAACATCAATACATATCAACTATTTTCACTTTCAAATTACAACCTGAATTATGTTTTTAATTCCTAATACCACTTGTAAATATATTTCGCACACATTAGCAATAAAATCTTGTCATGAAATAATCATAACCTCCATAACATGGAACAATCATTCAATTTAAGTTGTGATGTTAATTTGTGGACATCAGTAAAATCAAGTTATCCTAGCTTCTTTATCTATAACATAAGTGAAGAGACTGTTAACAAAGAAAAATAGCAAGACATTATTACACATTTTTAGCCTGCTTACAAAAAGACAATTCTTTTAAGTGAGGCCATTCTATTTACATTGAGATAAAGCCATCATTTCTGATTATGTGACTCAACTGTATTTGTTTGGTAAACATACAGTCATCATGTACCCTGCCAAGATTATTGTACACCACAAGAAAAAAGTCATGCTGTTGCATAATCACACAAAAGTATATGTAGTGTGTGTGTGTGTGTGTGTGTGTGTGTGTGTGTGTGTGTGTGTGTGTGTGTGTGTGTGTGTGTGTGTGTGTGTGTGTGTGTGTGTGTGTGTGTGTGTGTGTGTGTGTGTGTGTGTGTGTGTGTGTGTGTGTGTGTGTGTGTGTGTGTGTGTGTGTNTTAATTCACATGGACAGATGTCAAATCAGCAGTACGTCAATGGCATGAGTCTGGCTGGCAACATCAATACATATCAACTGACTATTTTCACTTTCAAATTACAACCTGAATTATGTTTTTAATTCCTAATACCACTTGTAAATATATTTCGCACACATTAGCAATAAAATCTTGTCATGAAATAATCATAACCTCCATAACATGGAACAATCATTCAATTTAAGTTGTGATGTTAATTTGTGGACATCAGTAAAATCAAGTTATCCTAGCTTCTTTATCTATAACATAAGTGAAGAGACTGTTAACAAAGAAAAATAGCAAGACATTATTACACATTTTTAGCCTGCTTACAAAAAGACAATTCTTTTAACTGAGGCCATTCTATTTACATTGAGATAAAGCCATGATTTCTGATTATGTGACTCAACTGTATTTGTTTGGTAAACATACAGTCATCATGTACCCTGCCAAGATTATTGTACACCACAAGAAAGAAGTCATGCTGTTGCATAATCACACAAAAGTATATGTAGTGTGTGTGTGTGTGTGTGTGTGTGTGTGTGTGTGTGTGTGTGTGCGTGTGTGTTTTGATAGATAGATAGATAGATTGAACAGAGTGCTGTCTCTGAAATAATGGGAAATGTTCTTTCATCTTTCACAGTAATGCTGCTGATGAAATAAAAACAATGTTTTCCAAATCCCAAACATGAATCAAACAGCCTACCTTAGTTTCTTTCTCTGTATGACCATGCAGGAGGAATGTGCCTATCATGACTGTATGGACAACTGTAGGAGGGCTGGAATAACTTCTGATTTCTGCCACTGTGGACTGTTTCAGCTGTAAGATTTCTGCACGGATCCTCTCCAATCTACGTAGCTGTAAAAGGAGTTTATTTGCTTCTGCCATTTCTGGAGCCAGTGCCACCTCAAAGCCTTTCCTTTTGACATTGTTGATAGCTTTCTCCAGTCCTTCTAGGTTACGTTTTACCATGGCATTTCTAAGACCTGCAACCATTTAAAAAATATGTGAGTAATGACAATGTTTAATAAAGTGTCCACAAGGTAGATTCATACCTATAATTTAACATGACACATTTCTTATGCTTTAAAAGGATAACCATATAAAATGCAAGACCCATAATAATTTTCAAGATTATAGTCATCATTATATAAATAATATATCATAAATATAAACTTAAAACAATCATATGCCTTCGCATACACTTACCATCTCTTGCATCCAACTCCTCCAAAATTCTTCGAGCCTTAGGAAGATCTTCATCATCATCCGAGAGTTTTGCCTTCTCAAATTCTTTAACAGCTGGTTCAATTTTGGTGCGATCCCTTGAACTGATGGCAGCCTTAAGTGTCAACCTTATTCTTTTGTTCCTTTCATCTGAAAGTGGTTAAACACAATTTATCATAACATCTAAACAATCATCCTAAGTCAAAATTTTAAAATAACAGTTTTATCTAAATTGAGCAATTTTCAAAACTTGTTTAATGGCTCAGCTTGACTTGAACATTAGTTGAATATCTACAGCTATATGAAAAGGTCAACTGTGCACAATGAATGTGTTAGCTGTACTATAAAAACAAATTTGCACTCATTTCACTTAAAACATTTAATACATTCTCACTGCCAAACTTTCACAAGCATGCTCCTGATGCATGATATTTCATTTTCTCAAAATTGTTTGAAACAAGAAAAAAATGCTTCTGTTATAAGCATCTCAGTATTTTTCATTTTTATCTCCTTTTTAACTTTCCTCACTTATTAACTATAGGATACTTAAAACAATCAATTTTGTAAGTTCCTACCATCTTTCCTTCTCTGTGCCTCTTTCTCCAACTCCTCTGCTTCTTTTCTTGCCTTGTCATCTTTTGCATTCTCTCTCTTCTGTCTGGCTTTGTTTATTTCTTCTTCTGCTTCTTTTTCACGTTGTTTAGCTTCCTAATAATGATAAAAAAGGAGTGTAAGAACTGTCTGACAAAAAGGCATAGTTCACTGTCATCACTTTAATCCATGCAAACATTATAAATACAGGGGTTCCAGTATTTCAAATAAAGTTCTAAATGTTTACATTACCTCTGCTTTTAAAGTATCTGCTCACCTTTTTGCATTAAATATGGTTTGTTTACCTTGGCTTTAGATTCTGAATCTTGAGACTCCTTCTGCTGCAACCTCATCCTTTCTTCATGTTCTCTCAATCTCCTAGCCTCCTCCTCTTCCTCCTTTACAATTATAAATATAAAAAACTCTAGTTAAAATTACTACCAATCTGCGCTGTCAATATTTTCTTGAAAGATTGTGGTGGAATTGCCAGAACAAGTGCAAATTAAACATGTTTCACAATAATCCTCTCTAACTGACCTGTCGTCTTTTGAGTTCTTCATCTTCTTCTTCAGCTTTCTTATTCCTCTCCTGTTCTTGTCCTAAAAACGTCAAGAAATAGAACTGTTCACTAAATAATATTACTACAGAATAACATGAAAACAAATGAAGTTTAAAAATTAGTTACAAAGTATCCATTTAATGTATTGTTTGGGGTCATGTCGATACTCCCCCACACTGATACTCCCCCTTAGTAATTTTTTACATTATGCGCATCGCTACGACCCCACACTGATAGATCCCCGCACCAGTACATCCCCGCACCAATACTCCCCAGCACCCATACTCCCGCTCAGTATATCTGTAATTGTGGGGGAGTATCGGTGTGGGAAAGTATTGGTGCGGGGATGTACCGGTGCGGGGGAGTAACGGTGCAGGGACGTATCGACATGTAACCTATTGTTTCATCAAAACACATAGCAGGGTTCAAGCTTGTGGAAAGGATTTGGGTGATGCAACAAACAGTATAAGATATATATATGAACCTAAGATTCACAGCAACCTGAAAGCATTTGAGGACCATTTGTGTTTGACACTACATTAGTATTTTTGCAATGGGAGAGAAATAAGGAGAAAAAAGGAAAGACATACTCAAAGGAAATATACATGTTTTGGTTAATAGTAAGCTAATCTTAACACTTAAAAGGGCATTTATTAATTGGGAGAGAAAGAATGCATATAGTCATTGATAATCCAGGAGGCATGGTGTAGAGAGGACATGGCCTAAAAAAATTGCCAAACTGAAGAAGTAAATATATATATTTATAATGATTATACATAATATTACATTCTTGACAAAAAAGCCAAGTGTGAAATACACTGGCTAGTTATCATTTGCCCTTCCATTTGTGAACCTACATTTTTGATAGTCACAAATTAGTAACTCACAACAAACCAATGGCACACAAGACTACAGCTACAGACATCACCTTCTCCTGTAATAAGTGTTTCCTCCACCAATCCTTCCATCTTAACTTCATGCTCCTGATCACTGCTCTGATCCATGCTATAGGAATCAGAGTCTATAGAATTGTTAGTAGGTTCACACTCGATTATGTTAGTATTTCCAGGCTTGGGTTTATTAGTAGGTTGTTGATGAGAACTAAGCGAGTTCTCAGAAGTGTCTGTGGGTGGCGGCAAAGCAGGTTCTAGGTCTAAAGCAGCATATAAGGTATGGTTTGCTATAGCCACACACCAAAACAATACACATTCAATGTTTCATTGCTGTTTAAAGAATAAAGACCCCCGACAAATTAACTAATTATCACAACTATGAGGATCATGGTGCTTTTATATTATGTTAATAACTGTTATAGGCTTATTGCACCCAGACATGGCATACATGTGAAACTGATAATATCCTCAAGCAAAACACCAACAAACTGGCAATTATATAAATGTCCAAATACAGATGAATTAAGTTGTCAGTTGACAGCACAACTGGAGAGCTTTTGGTCTAATAGTGAGAAACAAATAATAATAATAATAATAATAATAATAATAATAATAATAATAATAATAAAAGTAAAAGCAATTACTTTTCAACATAGAGGTAAAATTTGGTGAAAAACACTTACGTCACCATAGAATGTTATCTATCCATCCCAACTAAATCAAGAAAACTTACTTTCTTCTTCCAGTAACCTTTTCTTTCTCAACTCATCTTCCTCCTTTTGTCTACGGAGCCTTTCTTCCTGAACAAAAATTTATAACAATTCGTCAATTTATATCAACATCAATGTTGATTAATTAAAATGATTAATTAAATTTTCATGTTACAATTTGCTAAATGCTTAATTAATAACAAAAAAAAAGGTGTTAACTGGTTAATGAATCATTACCTAGTTCTAAATTATTGTACCTATCACATTTTATTTCTATCTTTAATACCTAGGATACTTTTTAAAGATACATATAGTTGCATAAACAATACATGACACTGTACCTCTTCCAACTTTTTCCTCTTGGCCTGTTCCTCCAGTCTCCTCTTCTTTTGCTCTTCTTTTTCTTTCCTCAATCTTTCTTCCTCTTCTCTCTGCAGTCTTTCCCTCTCCAATTTCTTCTTCATTTGTTCTAAAATAAAAATAAATGACAATAAAATAAAAGATCATAACTGTTTCACATCTTCCATCCACACGTTATATCTAAAAATGTGTTTTTAGATCAATATTAGATCATATAATATAATATAATGAAATGTGCAAACCACTAAAACATTAGTTCTTATACAAACATGCTTATATATGGATTTCTGGGATGCACATACCAGGTTTATCTAATGTCAATAACTTTCCTTTCGAAAAATGGAGGAAAACTGTTTACAAAATTTTGTTGCTCCCTTCTTAAAAAAAAAAATTAACAAAAAATTCACTTATTTCCTTGAAACTGCATTTACACCAAAGTCACCAAAATAACCCTCACCTTCCATATCTTTTTCTTCTTCTTTCAGCTCTATCTCCACTTCAAGTCTGTTTGGAATGTTACACAACTCCACCTCTATCTCTGCAAAACTAACCCCGCTCCCAGGCACAGGTCTTGTTTTGATAAATTTGTCCCATTTTCTTCTAGAAAAACTTTTGCCATGAATAGACTGCATAAACCATCTGTAAAAATATTATCATTAAAGGGAATTTTGAAAAATAAACACATTTTTTAAAAAACAGATATCAAACATAAAGTTCAACTTCACAGAAATGCTCTAAATCTTTCAGGAAAAAACGACTTTATCAGTGACAAAAAAAGGCAATAGTGTAAATGACTTCACATTATGTGACTTGTATTTCAAAGGCATATTATTACATACTATTGTATATGACTATTACATTTATCTCTAGTAGGCAACTGAAAGACATCCCTTTGCATAACTCAGGATCAGGTGTCATTTAAATTAATTTAATTCCAAAAAATCTGTATCAACCTGTACAATTTCATATGCTTACTTTGCCTGTTCCTCTGTAATAGTATCTCTTTGCTGCCTGTCCAACATGGCGAACTCCCACCTTAGTTCTTGTACCAGGTAGTATCTCCTGTCCATCTCCAGTAGTACATCATACATCTCACTTGGGTCTACAGTGGCACTGGCACATACATACTTGATAGAGGCTAAAACCTAATAAAAAATATGCCTGATGCAATATCATATAGCATAAAAACAGTGATCTTGTATCTCTTATTAAAGGGATAATAACTCTTCGTTTTGGCCAAAAAATTAATTTTCCTGGAGTAAACAACAATTTTCCCATACTAACCAATGGTTAATGAATCCATTTTTACATTCAAAGTTAGTCCCTGGTTTTTTTCTAAAAAGTTTGGTTTTTTGTTAAAATCTCTTAAGAGATTATAACAGAGTATAGCTATCAATGGAGGTCACGTGGTCTGAAGACAAGCTCACATATCAGAATAATAGCTGTAACTGCCGTTTTTGTGGTAAAACAGAATATATTATATTTCTATGAGTTGTTCACAATGTTTTTATTGTGAAATATAGATATCATATGAAGAGTTATTATCCCTTTAAGGCCACTAGTAGTAAATTGACCAAAAGCATAGAAACAATGCCCTGGGCTTATAAGTTTTTATAAAAAATTAAAACATACTTCCCAAAAGGCCAATTAAAGACAGAGATTAAGTGCAGTGTCCAACGCATGACGCTATAGCGGCAATTTGGGGGGAAAAATGTCGTTTTCGGATTTGGGATTTTCTCTATAACCAAGACAGCTATTCAAGTGATTCAAACGGCCTCATAAAGCTGGTTGAAAGCACTGGGTACCAGGGAATTGTCTTAAACTATTTACTTTTGATTTTATCGTCTTTTACGTTAAATTACCCCATATTTCAATGGGTTATTCACTTCAAAAGACGATAACTTTCAAACAAACAATTTCCAACATCCCTGGTATCAGACAGTAGTTCACATTTTCAACAACAATTTGTGCAATTTTCGTAAAAATCGGTTGCTTAGATAGGGAGATATACCTGAAACCGCTTGTCGGTTGAAAAACTCATCAAAAGACACATTTTGCGGCGCAAATTCAAAAAAATTATTATATCCAACGTTAGATACTTTGTTGATTAATATAAACACACAAAAAACTAAAAAACATGATTTTAGGCGTAGTTTACCCTACTACTGGCCTTAAAAGAAGCATTTTATAGTATTTCTGAAATCTCCAGCATTATATTTGGCACAATATTTGAATCAGATTTTTTATACATTTATTTATCAAAATAAAGTGCCAGCCTCTACAAAATACAATTCCATTCAAAATAACATTTATTACCTGTGGAAAACTTATTCCTCCCATCCGAATTTCTTGATGCATGGACTGTAATTGGAGAGGTGTTAATTCACCTGTTCTGTCTGTGTCAAACATCATGAAGATATCATCAATGACTTTCATCTGATCTTCTGTAAACCCAAGCTCACCCATGGTTTTGCTCTTTCACACAATTATTTGGGAGGTGGGGTATTATAAAAAACTAAAAAAAAAGGAAATAAAACAGTTGAGTTAAAATATGTGAATGTTTTGTTTATATATATAAACATTTGCATGGAGTCAGAAATTAATGTTCATTTAATATTAAATAAAGTATCAACTGTACCTTATTCACAGCGCTGTTGACGACAGAACTGCTTGGCTATTCAGCAGTGAGTGTTCATTGTACTAGTACATTTTGAAGAGGTGAGAGGTAAGACAAAGATCTGACAGCTCTCGCATCTTAGTGGACATGCTTGGTGGACATGCACCTATATCTTTCATGCTTTAACACATGCATATTCTAGTACATATCATTGATCATAATTTGATAAATTGGAGTCCTACAGCGTGGGTTTTTCCTAAACAATTTAACTAAATTAAACAGCACTGAAACTTTAATACCAAAAAATGTATATTTATTTAATACCAATTTTATAATGTATATTTATTTAATACCAATTTTAATTTTACCCATCAGTCTTAGACAAATTGTGGACCCTGGACATTTTAAAAAGGAACTTAAAACCCACCTTTTTAAACTATTTATCTTTAAATTCTTGAAAAAACACTTCTTAAGAAGAACTGCTCTTAGTCATAGTTTTAAATTTCCCCTTTTTTATCCATTTTATATATCCTTTCATCTTATAACCACTAGCAATATTTTTCTTTTAATTTGGATTTTATAATTTTTGTAAAGTCTACTGAACACATGTTGGATTTTAGACTATAAATAAATATTATATTATTATTTATTATTAATACAAACACCAAACACATCTTAATGCATATATGTGTAAAATGGTTTTACCTTGTTTTCAAATAATGGAAAACTCTACATCTTGTTTTATTTACTATCAATAGAGTTTCCTACATAACTTCGCGGCAGCCATTTGCAAACATATCTAAGGAAGTGCCTCTCCTCGATAAAGACTCATTTTCGAAAGCTTTCTATCTACCAATGAAAACAGTTTTCATTATAGTTTGTGTTGCATGTAGTCTGAAAAGAGACTATGCCGTGGAGGATACCGGAAATCGTTATCCTTTCATACGAAAATTTTGATTTGCTTGGTTATGATGGCCTATTTCTGCAGAACCAATTACATTGACGGATTGAAACAGATTTAGATAGTTCATGGCCTCGCCTTCGCTTTGACACACCAGTGTGATTGTATTTCGAGGAAAAGGTATTCAGCATCCTTCGTTTTTTTTTCTTAAAAATGTAGTAAGTAACTCGAAATAACTTGACAATGAATGCAGACGTAGAGTTCCATATTCGCCACAACTACCCTTGGACTAAGCTACCATTGAATATAAAGCAGGTACGTAAAAATTATTTTCACACCGACTCTGGATTCCCTATGTATCATATGATTATTCGACCAATATAATGGGCAGCGTAGACAGTGGTATGTCATTATGTTTATATCATTTTTGGTTTGGGAAAGAAAAAAAACAGCTATTTAAACCGAAGTGAAGTTTGATTTTACAACGCATCGTTTAGAAATTTAATTAAATAATCAACAATTTTATTAAATTGAATTTTATAATGCCGTCATGTATTAATTTTCATTCTATGCATTGAAGCATTTAAACATGCAGACAGTGACACACATTCATATATGATTCTCCTTTTAAAATCTAATCACTGGCACTCATCTACACAATGTTACCTTGTCAGTATGTCATACTTTTGGCATATGTTGTCCTTGCTATCAAATTATATTTATTACTACAGCATACGTACATACAGTATGCCCCTTCAGCATCTTTCTAGTTTCAGTTATGAAAGACTATTTAAATGAATCAGTTTTGCAATTTACTTCATGGTTTTCCATTGTTCACCACATAAAACATTGAAATTGCTTAACTATAGTAATTTATTCAAGTATCAGCAACAATGATAGCTTTTCCAATGAAATGAGGAAATTACTGAAACTAAAAATCATAGACTTGACAGTTGCTAATTTTGGGGAGTAACTGCATGTGCATACTGTTTCAAGTACTAGTAAGCTATGTTTTCTGAACCTGAATGGCAAGTCCCAATACTGGGTCTTGAGCAAAAGGAAAAGTACATTAGTCAAACTGTAGAGTTTTGTTGAATGCTTCCATTGTTAAATAAGGTACTGAGTTCTGAGGTATGCTTCAGTCCTGTATTGTTCCTTAAAAATTGAATCCTAACAAAATTGGTGCATGTGTGTGTGTGTGTGTGTGTGTGTGTGTGTGTGTGTGTGTGTGTGTGTGTGTGTGTGTGTGTGTGTGTGTGTGAATTCCTTGAACTTGAAGCACTCAAAGTTATTAGCTTATTAGCTAATTTTTTAATTAATAGAAGCAAAGTCATCTATGGGCCCAAAAGGGGTTCAAAAAGTATTTGACTGCATTCCCATAGATTTAGATCAATCCATCTAGATTGACCTAACTCCCTGGGGGTTCTTTAAAAGCCTGGTATCCAGAATTTTGGATGTTATTAATGACAACACATGTCACAGATAAGAAAAATGAATAGTGGATTTGAAGAAGAGAAGTCACATGTCACAGGGCGCTAACAGGGAGAACTGTGATATGATTAAATGAGGAAGAGAGGCGTTTCACCATTTTTTTTTTTTTTTTTTTTTTTTTTGAGGGGGGGGGTGTATCATATACTCCAGTTGAAATAATTTAGGTATATTTTAAAGTTAATACGAGTGTATATTCTATAAGGACCACAAAAGCTTTGCTGCTGAATTCCTTGTTTAAGTGTGTGTCCACGAGAAAACCAAACCAAATGTAGAAAATGCGGCAAGGTGGGGGTGAACGGATTTACATCATATTTGGTGTGTTTGAACCTTTATATGAACAATATCTGAGGCTGCAATATTTCCTGAAAAAAATCCCTACTTACAGAGATATGGCCAGTGACAATTTGGGGGGTTTATCAACCAAAAATTCTTCTGAAAAACAGGGTTATATTGATTGGCCTTAAAGTTTATACAGGTGTCACCAAATGATTTAGTTTGGTGATATATTTTAACCTAAAGATAGGGGATTAAAATGATATACACTTTTTCCACTCTCTTTGTTTCCATGGTAACAAACCAAGCGTTTTTCTCAGGCCTACAAACCACATGCTTTGAACACCCCCCTTCTATTTTTGACAATATCTTCATCTTCACAGGTCTTTGGGGTAAAGCGTGTTCAGGACTAACAGATAACTCATTAATCTATTTATACATGAAATCAAAACTTACTGCTGTTCTACAACTTGTCCGTTGTAACAGATAGAACATGACCTAATTTCTTCATTTTTCGTAAATATATCCGAACACGTATATCGGTGCACTGAACTTCAGCCATCTCTTTCAAGTCAACGAATGGTTTAAAACACTGTTAGTTGAACTTTTTATTTTCATTTTACCTATTCTAATTTTTTTCTGGTTAAAACAAGCATCTAACACATTTTAAAACCATGTGAAACTAATGTACTAACGTCAGAACAACACAACGTCATTATCCAACATGGCGGAAATCGCAGACTGTTTGTTTACAAATCTTCCTCAACGAAGTCGTATATCATGTGGTTTATACTCTGTCTACAGATATAAAAAA